TTTTCTTTTATCATCATTGCCGGAGAATCGAATGAATCGCAGTCGAGTCGATCGTGAAGATTCGTATCAAAATTCGTTTCTTTACGCCGGTGTCGGATGCTCGGTCGTCGTTTTCGTTTTCGTCGATGAAACTCGCGACTGCGCGATATTCAAAAACTTCGATTAAAAAACTGTCGCCGAGTAAAAGAGTAAAAGGCTCGAGATAGGAATGTTTGCAGTCTTTGTCCGCGATCTCGAGGTGCAAAGATACGCGAGATAAATGGGACGCACTTCCGGTCGAGGTGAATTCAACCCCGCGAATGATTTTTTCGTGTTTCTCGCCCGTGTCGCCACGATATACATTTCATTTCTTGGCAGAAATCTTCCTGTCGATGTGTTTTTCTCTTGCGAGGGAAGTTCGAACTCTGCACGAGTGCAATTCACACGGCGATCGTTCCTTAAAATTATTATGAAAAATCCCCGAAAATTATTATAAAAATAAAACTGTACTGTTGTATCTTTTTTTGTTTATCAATTGCCGGGTTAAATTGCAGCGTACATTCAAAAAACAAAATGATAGAACGTGAAAAGACGTTTCTGATGTTTCATTGCAATCGGGGGAGAGGAGGGGGGAGGGGGAGAAAATTGAAGAAATTGTAAAACCAGCAAGCAAAAGTTTTTCTTTGGAGAAGTTTCACCCTCGCGAAACCGTTTCACAGCAAAAGGGTCCCCTCCCCTGTTGCCATGTAAACTATAGTTATTCAAAGGTTCCGAATTTGTTTTAAATTTCCAGTCGCTGAACTTTCCTCGTTAGAGAACGTTATGCGTATTTGCGCCTCGTTGAAAACGCTTCGTCGGAAAGAAGATTAAAACGGGATTGTCAAATGAAAGCTACATTTCGAAACGCGGTTAACCATTGTCGGGGATCACTGAATCGCGACACATCCGAGTATTGTAAGAGTATTATGAAGATCGTTCGTTCCGGACAGTCGTTGAATCGTCGATTGAGCGTGCAATGTCGATATCGCGTTTGCACGTGGCAGAAAAAAAAAAAGAAGAAAAAAATAACAGTCGCGCGATAAGGGCGAAAAACCTGTCTCTGAAAAAAAAAAAAAAGAAAAAAAAGAATCGCGGTACAGAACATCGCTGAATCGTTTCGAAACGTACAAAATAATACTGTTTCTCGTTGGAGAAAAACAAAAAAAAAAAAAAAAGAAAAAGAAGAGTCCGTCGAAATTACAAAACGCGGGATACAGGAGCCACACGTGTCGCAGTGTTCTGGATTAAAAAAAAAGGGGGCGGGCTTCGTCTAACAACGAAAAGCTACGTCGTTTGGAACCGCGTTCGTTCTCTCTCGCGCGTTCTTTCTTTTCTCCCCTTGGCTCTTTCTTCCTTTTTCCGAACGTGGCAACGGCGTTATTGTTGTTATTATTATTATTATTATTATTCTCAATAACAGATCCCGTTGCGCGTGCACGCAAAACGGTTTCTTCTCACGGCGATAATTCGTAACGCAAAGTTGTCGAAAAGACGCGTGAATTTCAGCCGAAACTGGGGCGGAAAGCTTTCGGTTCTCTTTCGATTCTTTTGCCAGCGTCTGTTTGCTTTAATTCGTTAAAAATCTCTGTATATATATATATATATATATATATATATATATATATATATATATATATATATATATGTNATATATATATATATATATATATATATATATATATATATATATATATATATATATATATATATATATATATATATATGTTTAAACAAACTCCCGGTGAAAGGACAAAAATGAAAAACAAAATCGTGAATTACCGACCCGTGGAGAATTTCCTGTTCGTCGTGCACGCGCAATCATTTACTTTCTTTCTTTTCTCGCGTTTTAGATTTCTCCACTCCCCTAACCCCACTCTTCTTCAACGTCGACGCGTTCTTTAGTAAAAACTTCGACTACAAAATTTGATTTGTTTCGCGCCAGCGTGCGCGAGAGACTTTCCAGCTACCCGGAGAACTCGGCTCGTCCTCTTTGTCTCTCCCTTCCTTCTTCCCTCGGGCGCTTGGTCACTCACAACAGTTTTAAACAATTGCCAGACGTCGCAATTAAACGACACACGTTCGCGTCGGAGCGAGGTGAAAAACCACAATGTCACTGTGTGTGTGTGTGTGTGTTTGTGTCTGTGTCTCTCTCTCTCTCTCTCTCTCTCTCTCTCTCTCTCTTTTTCTGTCTCTCTTTCACTTTCGCTCTCGAGCGCGAATCTCCGGGTACTGGCAAGGGAAAATTCCTCCCTTGCTTACAGAGTATAGAGCGGTATAATTCGAGGACAGGTCGCGAACAATGATATCTTAGGCGATATATACTCCGATCCTTTAACTCCTCGAGGACGCGCAGCACGAACGAGTCAATCGTTCGTTGCCCTTCTTGCAAACGCTCGAGATTCCTCGATCGATCCTCGAGGTGCTACTGATCGCAAGTAGCAACGTGTGAGTGACTCGATCCAGAAGCGAATGTTTCCCCATACGTTGTGAAAAACGTGTGAAGTTTGTCGAGAATGAAAAGGGAAAGGGCGACGGTGCGAAAATTCCTATTTACAAAAGTTACAAGGGCGACTGACCGGACCGGATGTACGCGATTGCGTGTTCGCGAGGCATCGAGGGATCGTTCACCGATCGCTGACGAGCGGAGAATCGCGTCGTGTTCGAGTCGTGTTCCTCCGGCTACCGGGGAACAGAGAGCTGCCATCGAATAGACGGAAATCGCGGAGTAATCAAGGTAAACGAAACGAAATCGAGATTCTTGAAACGGTAAATCGTTTCCTCTCACGAGGTAATTAAAATCAACGCATTCGTGCGTGTCCCGTGAAATAAATTATCACGTAATATAAAAATATTATTAAAATAATGTAAAATTTATATGAGAATATTATATAATATATAATACATGATACATATAATATATCATATATATGTGTATTATACAATATATAATATGTAGTACATATGATATGATATAAAAATTATATTATAAAAGAAAAGGAAAGACAGGAGAGAATTTGCCTTAAGATACTTAGTAGAAAGTGAGATTCTCGTCGCGACGGGACACGCACAAAGGGGAGACAACGAGCGTACGTTTTTTTTCTTTCTTTCTTTCTATCTTTTTTCTTTTTCCGAAAGACAAAGACACGACTGACAGCGCACCTCTCTGCTCTCTCGATTTCGAACCCTTTGCACTTCCTTTCCTCGCTTTGTGTTCGCGACTCACGTGAATCTACAATTCTGCCCGGAAGGTAGACTACCGTCGTTTAACAAGCAGCTGAAAAAAAAAGAACTTGGCGCGTTGACGTCGCCAAGTGACAGACGATGTTCCTCCTCGGAAATAAAAGCTACAAATCCTCTGTTAAACGCGCGGTAATGTCATACATTACCGGTTGAATCGCCGCTTTCGCGGTTATAATCTCGACCGTGATCTCGCTGTAATTTCAGTCGATTAACAGAGGCGAACGTCGATCCGATCTTGGGGATCGCCGGGCTATCTCCTCAAGAGACAGAGAGAGAAAGAGAGAGAGAGAGAAAGAGAAAGAGAGAGAGAGAGAGACAGAGTCCGAAGATACCGCGTATCGAGACGTGAGACGAGATATCCCAAAGGCGTTAACACGTGACGCGGTTGCAGATGGATTTGCAAAGGGTTTTGCCGAACTGAAACTCGGAGTGGTGGCAGGCTATTTCCGCGGCTGAAGAAGGTACGACCGGTCGAGCGTACGGCCGGTCTTTAAACAGGCGTGTCCGTCTTCTCGTCCTTCTTCGGCTCCTTGATGTCCGTGCGGCCGTTCACGTATTCCGTGCTCGCGTGTATCGGATTCTCCTGGCCGCCCTGCGGTATCTTCTCGTCGATGATACGCGGGTCCTCGTGATCCTCTTCGTCCTCGTCCCCGGGGGTGATGTGCGCCTCGCTTCCGGCGCCGACACCGCTCGCAGCTTCCTCGTCGCCCCGACGCCTCGCTGCAACAAGCAACGCCACGATCGGTCAAGGCAAAACGTGCGGAGTGTGTGTGTGGATCTCTTTCTTTTTATACTTTTTTTTTTGGGGGGGG